AGTCTTGATCTGAACCATACGATGTCCAGTGTACAGTCTACATGAGCTGCATGCAAGCTCTGGAAGACTTGGAAGCCCAGGGGTAAACTTTCCCCCTTTTTTTGGGGTTCAGGGTTCCCTTAAAAAAGTAAGCAAAGATAGCAAAGCAACCACAAAAAAGGTCCCTTATAGTTAACAAGGACCCCAATAAGGTTAACCCCCCCCCCCCCCCCCCCTTTAATTTGCCAAGGTTCCCTAAACCCTCTAAACCCTAAAACCTTGGTTGCTGGGCTACCAAGATGAATCTTTCACTTCATGGCTGAAGTAGTTTTGATTTCCGACCTTCTGGGGGCATTTCTCCCTAAGTTGCTGAGGACCCTTCGGCATCGCTCACGGTACCCCTGACCCTAAACCCTAAGCCCCTAAACCCTAAAACCTGAACCCCCTTGTCAGAGTTTGGCCGAGGCGTCCTCAATATGGAGAAAGACCCAGAAGATCCCATGCCCAAGAATGTAGGAGCTGAGACTGTCACCTTTATAGCCGTTCTTCTTTGGGGATGGGTTATACGTCAATTTAGGGTCTAGGGTTTAGGCTTTAGGGTCAAAACCAAAGGTGAACCTTCCTTCCCCTGGTTGACTCAGCCCTATGAGAATTCGCCTGCAGACCGTCGAGCATGAGCCTGCACAGTGTATGTAAAGTGTGCCGCGCAAGATCACAATGACATGCGCGCACGACGTCCCTCCCAGGCAGAAGTGAAACATCCGCCTCGGACACTGCAGGCTACGGCCACACCAGGTTCCGTTGTCAAACCGTAGTCTTCCCTTACAGGACCGCCAAAGGGAATCCGAATTTAGAAGGAAATCTCAGTTGCAAGTTTTAAGCAGCAAGGAGGTTGCATCTGAATCCAAGGAGCCCCAAGCCCACTTTATATTTCTCTATTCTAGGGTTTTGGGTTTAGGGTTTAGGGTTTAGGGTTTAGGGTTTAGGGTTTAGGATGTAGGGTTTAGGGTGTAGGGTTTAGGGTTTGGGTTTAGGGTTTAGGGTTTAGGGTTTATAGGGTTTATGGTTTAGGGTTTAGGGTTTAGGGTTTAGGGTATAGGGTTCAGCCACAATGAGAGAATTGGGGCTCTGCAGGTCGCAAAACTGATGCATAACCGCCACCCGAAGAACCTCGGTGCTTGGGATAACTCCATGCCGGCTTTCCCGGCCTTGCACCTTGGAAAAAAATGCGCGTTCCAGGCCTTGCACGAGGAAACATGCCAGGAATTAGTGAGTTCCAGAAGGGTTTAGGGTATAGGGTTTAGGGTTTAGGTTTAGGGTTTAGGGCCCCCAAACCCAATCCCTAAGCCCTAGGGTTAGGTCTTTGGGGTTGGACTTTTTTGTTGGTTCATGGGTTTCGGAGTCATTTTTTCGGAGTCATTTTTGTTTTTGGGGGTTGGGTGCTCAGGTGTTCTGTACGTGGCTAGCCACTACGGGGCTCTTGGTCTCTGAGACTTGAATCCCTAAACTTGGGATGTTCCCCCGTATACTAACAGTCCTATAAACAGAAAGTATAGTACCCCCGATTAGACTCCCCATTAAGGACTGCTAGTATAAGGGGAACATCCCAAACTTGAATCCTGAAGCCCTTGAGGCCTGGAGGCCCGAAAGCTCAAGTCGTAAGACCCACATCCTGAGCTCCCCCCACCCTCATGAAAGTGGCGCACCGCTGATGTTGTCCGTTGGAGGGAAAGGACTTGGGTCGATAAGCTCGTTCTGATAGGTGGCTAGGTGTACTTAAGGGCCGTCCTTGGAAGGTGCTTTAAATTCCCCTGGGCCTAGGCCAAGCGAGACGCTGCTCTGACCCGAAACCTTTGCAATCTAGACCCGCGGCCCGCCCAACATAGAACTCAAGCACCAAAACAATGTTGATGACGAACAACCAACCAACAACAACCTAGAACCAACAGCCAAGAACCCGCGACCCACAACCAACAACCAAGAACCACAACCCACAGCCACGACCCACAACCGACAACCGACAACCGACAACCGACAAACCGCAACGCACAACCGAAAGCCAACAACCAACAACTCACAGCCAACAACAACAGCCGGCAACCAACAGCCAACAGCCAACAAACAACACACACACAACCCAAAAGCAAACAGCAACCAGCAAACGGCGGGCAAACGGCGGGCGGCGGGCGGCCGCCGGCAGGCATCAAACAGCAACCAATAAACAGCAGCCAACAAGCAACAACCAGCAAGCAACAACGGACGAACAACCAACGAACAAACAAACAAACAAACAAACAAACAAACAAGCAAACAAACACCGAAACAAACACACATGCACACACACACACACACACAAACAAGCAAACAAACAAACAAGCAAGCAAGCAAGCAAGCAAACACACAAACAAACACACAAACACACAAAACAAACAAAACAAACAAAACAAACAAAACAAACAAACAACACAAACAAACAAACACACAGACAGACAGATAGACAAACACAAACAAACAAACACACACACACACACACACACACACACACACACACACACACACACACACACACACACACACACACACACACACACACACACACACACGAGCACACAAACAAGCACACAAACAAGCACACAAACAAACACGCAAACAAACACGCAAACACACACACACACACAAAAAAGAAACAGACAGACAGACGGACAGAATGACACACAAACACAAATCAAACAAAACAAACAAACAAACAAACAAACTAACTAACTAACTAACTAACTAACACGCGCCGCTCAGGGCTGTCAAGGTTCATGATAATACCGCCAACAACAATAGCAATGATGGCTGTACTGATGAGAAGAGGCATAAATGCGGAGCCAGTGGTATCAACTTTGGTCTTCATGCAGTAAAACTTCTCAGGCGTAGCTGGTTTGGATGATAGTATTTATGTCAGAGGCCGGCTGGTGTGGAAGGGTCTGACGGGCACGCACGGATGCATCTAATCAGGGTATCCGGGTCTCATCTCGCTCACAAGAGAAAGGCACACAGGCAGGCAGAGCTGAAAAGGATAGCGCGCGCCAACTAGGAGTACGGGCTAGAAAAGTGAACCTCGCAATGGTTTCTCTGTGGTTTTTGCCTCGATGGCTTGCGTTATACTCCGCTCTATTGTGGGGTGCCCAGCACAATTTTTCAGATGTTATGTCGGTATTGGAAGTCGGCCGGTCAGCTTTCCTTGGATGTGTGACCACAGCCGCTACGACGGTATGCACGTACAGTGCTGGGAGCGAAATGCATGCTATAGCCCTAGCCAACCAATTCTTGTACTCAGGCCTCGATGAATCGCAACTGTATGCCAAGCTGGTGTTGGGCAAGGCGCACAAAGCATGGCAATGCAGTCTCAATGATTGGGGCTATCTGGCGCAGCAGGCGGTTCATCACTTTTTTTCTCATGGTCAGAATTTGGCGATCCGCTGGACTTCGCCAGAGCTGTGGCATGCTTGGATACTGAGGACATTCGACACGCTGCATGCTTCCCAAAGGTGGGCATATCAAGCCATGTCCAGCAGGGACCCAGCGACAGAGCTTGTCGCTCAAGCAGCTTTTCTCGCTCAAGCAGTTTCTGGTGCCATGGTGTCGCGGCGTAACATGATTCAAGCTGAGATTGCCAGATTGTTGTGGGACTCCGGCGCCAAGCAATGTTGCTTCCCCAGTGATTTTGCAAAGTTGTATCACATTTTCTGCCAGCACAAGCACCAGATAGACATGGTGCACGACAGCATCAAGATAATCAATGAATGCCAGCTTACGCTTGAGAACGATTCCCTTGACGACTTCAGCTGGCAAGGGCCCACTTATCAGGGCACTCGGTTTAGCAAATCTGCTCCTCATCCGCATTGGGAGATTTCCAATGCATGGCGCCCAAGAAGCACTTCGCCGCCGGCTGGTTGGTCGAAGGATGACAGCGAAGCCTGCAAGATTCTGCAAATGTGTGCAACTCCAGAACCTCAGAACATTGCTTCATGCAGCCAAATCAAAGGAATATGGGATATTTCTTGCTTGCAAAACCTCTTCCCTCATATCCCTGGTAACTCTTCTGAGTCTTCGAGGCGTGACAATCCTTAGGATATTGCTTGAGTTTAGGTGGGGACGCGTATTCAGTTGATTCTGTGACACGTGGTCAGTGCCGGTTTAGCCTTGTGCTACTTGGCTTGCCGCAAGTTAAAAAGCTGCATGGATGCAACCAGAGCTGCTTCGTTCGAGGGACGTTTAGGCCCCTACATGCTGTTGACCAAGCCTCGCCTGTTGGGTTCCGCCACCCCGCCCCCCCCCCCCCCCCCCCCCCCCCCCTTCCCCTCCCCCCTTCCGCCCTTCCCCCTCAAAAAATGGTGAGTGGCGGGTTGCGCTAGAACTAGGGTCTCTTGAATTTGTTGCTGAGGAGTCCTGATTAAGGGCCCTAGTTCAGCACCCCCCCCCCACCAAGGAACTTGAATCAAGTCTTATGTGCTCTACGCCAAAACTACGAATTTGCTTAAGTTTCTGACCAGCGACCAGAAGCCCTAGAGCTTCCTCGAAACCTATATCTTGAACCTTAAACTTTAAAACGAACCTCGGGGCCTCTCACTCTAGCTCCAGCTCCACCAAAAAAACCCAACACTGGCCTGTAAAGACGACTTCTTTCCAAGAACTGGTGCTTCTGCTCGTCATGGTTTCTAACTAGGGATTGCGGTTAGGGTTTAGGGTTTAGATTATTCAAATGCTTTCTAGGGTTTGGGGTTCAGGGTTCTCTTCCCCTAGTCTTGCAGAGTGGAGGGTTGAGACTCCATGCCTGCGTGTTTTGCGGTTGTGACATACCTTCAGGTGCTGCGAATGCAACCTTAGTAACCTATTTTCGGGGTTTCATGAGTGCCAGCGCAACCTCAGGTGTATACACTTCAATTGGGGCTTTAGGGTTTAGGGTTAATTAGGGGCCAGGTAGAATATAGTATCGAGGTCCCTGGACGCTTCAGGCTAAACAAATTTGGCAGGCTCTCACTCCTTCCTGCTCTGCGTGCCGCCTATTCGACGAACCTTCACCGCCCCAGGGAGGAGCAGGAGGACATTCATGGTTATAGGGTTAAGGGTGTAAGGTTGAGGCGTTTAGGGAGTTTAGGGTCGATGGGGTTTCAGGCAGAAAGTTTCAGGGGCCGTTGATTCTTGAAGCCGTCCAGCCCTCAAGGGGCGGCGACAGCACGAAAATGCAATTAGCAAAAGCTACTTGGAGGTTAGGGTTTAGGATTTAGGGTTTAGGGGTTTAGGGTTTAGGGCTTAGGGTTCCCGAAGAGTTCAATGTACCTCAGTATGATTACTTGGCCCTATGTTGGAAGCACGTAAGGCCCAAAATAGGGACCCTAAGCTAAGCCTTCAACCAAACCACCCCCCGCCCCCCACCCCTGCCCGCCCCCCACCCCCCCCTGGATTTGGAAACCCTCGGCATCCCTGTGCCTGCCTCGCGGTCCTTCATTTTTTCTCCACGAACCCAAAAGTCCCCAAGCTGCACAAGCCCTAAACCTGAAGTTCTCGATCCTATAAGTTTGACATTGCTACCTCATAAACCCGGCTACCCCAGAGCGTTTGCATCTCCTACAGAAGACCCCTCAACAAAGTCTCCGAGCACCCTAAACCCTAAACGCTGCTTCAGAACATGTTTCACGCACTTCCCGTGGGCTTCCTTCCGAAGCGCCTCAGCGCGCATAACGAGGCGGGCTGTCCATTGGAGGATTAGGGTTTAGGGTTTAGGGTTTAGGGTTTAAGGGTTTAAGGGTTTAAGGGTTTAGGGCTTCGGCTTCAAGGGTTTCCAGAGCTTAACGTGTAGGAGTTGCTCTGTTTGTTTTGAGGGGCCCGTTGCGCAGAGCACCAGGCTATAAATGGTACCCAAATAAGGACCCTAATCGTGACAACCCCCAATTCCCATATGACTAGAGTATCTGCAAGTGGGGCGGGTTCCGGGTTCAGGGGCTTGGGGTCCTGTGCCCTAAGGGTCCATGTACCTGATTATTAGATACTTGGGCCTTAAAGTACTTCCTATATATGGACTTTGGGGCCCAAGTATATAATAGTCAGGTACATGGACCCTTAGGGGTGAGTCTGCTTACAGGGTGTTAAGGATGTTCGGGGTTGAGGGTTTAAGGATCAAGGGAACCTGCACCCTAAGCAGGCCTGGATGGGGAGCCGGCATTGCAGGCTTTGCAACAGGACATGTTATCCGGGTAATTGCCTGTGGCAACTTACCCTACCGTTGAGAAAGCTGGCAGATCTACTGGAAGGTGCATGGGTATTCGTAAGAAGTAAGTACCTTATTTGCGGTTGCATTATAGGTTGCTTTAATCACTTGTAACCCGACTTACAACTACTACTTCAAGTATGGTTGTTTAGTATGTGGTGATCTCTTAATCCCAACTTATTGAGACCCATGAGCTTCACATCCACAAGCCTTAGCTTGCTGCGTCTGGGTGGGGAATGAGGGTTTAGGCACTCTATATAATTATATAGTCCCTTCAAGGTGTTATATATATGTGTGTCTATGTATATGTAGCGGATATAAGGTATCTAATTCCCTCATTCCCTCATTCCCGACCAAGAACCAGCAAGCAAAGCGAACTTCATACCCAAGAACCCTGTAGGGACTGATACTAAGTCTTTGGGGCCTTGAGGGCGCAAGAGCCTTGTTATGGCCTTATGACAGGACATTATAAGAGACACAGATACCCAAGAATAGCAACAACCTGGCATGTCCCTCTTGCTAAGTACATCGGCTACTCACTTCTGGAAGGCAAAAAACTCGGCTCATTCATCCCAAGCCCTCCAAAACCCCTACACCCTCAGACCCGTATAGAGTGCTAAGGTTTAGGGTTTACGGTTTAAGATTACGTGCTTCAACCCATACCGTATACAAGCTCAAGTAGGCCTCAACCGGCTCAAACCTGGCCCGACTGCCTGCACCTTTTGACACTCCGCGAAACCTCCAAAACCTCCAGAACCTCCACCCAGACCCCTGAAAGGATCCAAAAAGCAGAGCCCCCAAATAGTAATTACCCTGTCCTACTATTGGGTCATTCTTAGGGTTACCCTAAACCCTAAACCCTTGAGGGGATCTACTGTTTGGATCCTCCCAGGGGTCTGGGCGAAGCCTCCAAACGGCCCCCAAGCCTAAACTCTACTTGGAGGTTCATAGCACTTATTAACCCAATAGGGTTTAGGGTTTAGGTTTTAGGGTTTAGGGTTTAGGGTACTTGTTAAACAATAACTGTACTTATAACCCACTTATAAGCCCCTTAAGTGCCCCAATATGCTTATAGGTACAGTTACAAGTGCAGTTATGATTGGTCATAATACGTACCACGAACCTCCAAGTAATTCCCTCCCCCCCCCCAAAAAAAAAAACAACAAAAGCCGCGCTGGGACCAGGCTCAGAACGCTCGACAGCTGAAACGTGTTAGAAGCCTGTAGTAGCCCCTTGTGCCCCAATCCTATAAATCCATTCCCTAAACTTCCCAAAGTGTTCGTGAGCCCCAACCCTAAACCCTAAACCAAACCCAATCACCTCCCTAAGACCCTCAGCCCCCCCAACCCCTTCCCTCAAAAAAAGCAACACCAAAGCCCTGATCCCCCAAAACCCCTCACGACCCTAAACCCTAAACCCTAAACCCTAAACCCTAAACCCTAAACCCTAAACCCTAAACCCGGAGGCACTTTTGGAACAGCGCCGCAGTGCGGCGCCACCCTGGACGGAGCGTTCCGGTCGGCTGCTGGTGCCTTGGGGCGGGATGGGTGGTGGGTTTAGGGTTTAGGGTTTAGGATTTAGGGTTTTGAGGGGGCTTGGGGGGTGGGGGGGTGGGGGTTAGGGTTTATTAATGTCCCAGATGCTCAACTTATACCCCATCCCTTTGAGGTACCTAGCTTCCTTATTGGTAGCATTTCAGCGTGTAGGTATGGTTGAGAATTGGGTGTATTCATGGTTTTAGGCGGGTTTAGGGTTTCAGGAGTCAGGGCTTGATGGGAGGTTTGGGGAGTTTAGCGGTCGATTTGGTATCTAAGGGCAAACATTTATCTTTTTGCTTGAGGGCTTGTGTTACGAAATGTCCCTAGAAGAAGGATATAGGGTTTGTATAGTGTTCAGTACGTGAACTTCTATATCTCAGTTTTCTCTACACACCCTTGAAGAAGAGTTTAGGGTTGAGAGTCTTCCAGTCCTGAGGTTTCGGGGCTCGTTTCACTAACTACAGTCTGGGCTCTTTGGTCTTGAGGGTTTAGTGTTCAGGGTTCAGGGTTCAGGCTTTAAGTACCAAGCGTCCCGAGTAAGGCTTTGTTCTGACAGCGAACGTTTACTTAAAGAATCTCAATTAATCTATTTGTTTAGGGTATGTAGACTAGATTTTTGAAAGAAAGTTCGCTTAAAGAACCCTACAACACCCCAGCCCCTTCTTGAAGGGCGATGCAGGCTGGGCTATGTAGAGCAAGACGACTGCGTTTCAACCCAGCGCGACACCAAACACCACACCCAAAGTGAATGTGGACGGGCATTTTTGTGAGCATTTTGGAGACTAAATGCCTGCATCATCAGGTGTTCACCAAAGAGGCCTTATAGGGTGTCTTGTGATTCGAAACTAGAGATCTGAGAACACCAGGTGCCGTGGATGCGACTGCAGTGTCTTGGCAGCATGGTGCAACGCCTCAAAGCCTCCTCCGCTTGCGAGATCGCTGCTGAGTGTAGCCTGTGTAATTCAGCCGGTTCTATTCGGAAGAACACAAGACATACTCAGTTGGTTCTATTCAGCAAGACCATAAGAAATATGCAAGGGGCTTACCTTCAATTTTCAATTTGTTGCAAGGGGTTCCAAGGGCAGTTAAGCTTGGGCTGAGGAGCCCCCTGACCCTGAGATGTAAACCCTAAACTCTAGAAGCAGCACCAGAATGTTGCACCCTTTTACCAGGAGGGCCTCCTGACAACATTTCAGGGACTTCTGAAGTAAGTTATCATACCTAGAAGCCAATTGGGACCGCTTAAGCCCCAACCCCCTAAACCCGAAACCCCCTAAACCCCCAAGCCCTAACCCCCTAAACCCTATCTAGAGCCCTACCTACAGGCAGCCCTAACTTGGAGGGCCAGCTAACCTTGTGCCCCAAAGCCTACAGCGTAGCAACTTGGGCTGCAAAGTTTAGGCTTCGGGCGCCCCAGAAACGGTTTGGGGTTTGGGGTTTAGGGTTTAGGGTTGAGGGCTTCGGGTTAGGGTTTAATGAGGGTTCAGCCCTTGGCCCATTCCTTACGGGAGCTCCACTCCAACTGCAGTTGCGGGCATCGATGGCGTCGGGGCTACAGGAGCGCTGCCATGGCACTCTTGTGTTCAGTTGTCCTATAAGCGCAACATTTGAAATCCTACGCAATCCTAGGCCACAATTTCTCGAAGGGAAGCTTCATGGGCCTTTCATGAATATGGTCCCTTACCCTCTTGAAAGTGTTCTGATGTATGGGCCCTTGGGTTGTAATTCTAGGGTATCTAGGGGGGTATACAAGAGGTCCCCATGTACGGGCCCATGTTAGGGGACCATGTAACTACCCTGAAGATTCTTGGCAATCCTCAACCTTGGATTCTTCGACCCTTACCCGAAAACACTATGGAACCGATGGGTGGTAAGGGTTGCTCGGGGAAAAATGGGTTGATTTTTGGGGCCCTTTGGGGTTTGGGGCTTAGGGTTTTCTGACCCTAAACCCCAAACCCCAAGCCCTAAACCCTAAACCCTATGGTTTAGGGTGTAGGGAGGCGGCCCGTACTTGACTGTGCTATGGCTGAGATATGAGTAGCTCTGAATCAGGGTCCCTTTTGGGGCCCCCTATCTACTACGGCACTTAGAAGATGGACCCAAAAGCTACTATTTGCTTTAGAACCCCCCAGAAATTACAAACAATAGTCCCTAGCTTGCCCATACAAGGAAGAATATGAATCATTTTTCGGGCGGTTGTTATGCAAGTAGTGGGAAAGGGATATCCTAATGTAGAGAACTACCTAAAGGACTCAGACTTTTGCGCCGAGTATTACCCGATCTCGGCCCGTTTTCAACGCCATACATCCAGACGGCACCTCCCTAATTTAGGGTTTACCCTCCCTAGACTTTTTAACATCCTTAAACCAAAACTAGGACCGGGAGTAGGCCCTTTTTTTTTAAAGGGTTGGGGTTCCCTTATAATCCCTTAAAACCAAGAAGGGTACCCTTTTTTTCCCAGGTTACTCCCGGGTCTAGAAAAAACTGTATTTAGATTTTAGAGTTTGGGGTTCGCCCGGACTAAACCTACAAAGCTGCTGCCCCGCGAAGCCCGGACTAGGACCATCTTAGCGTCGCCGGAGTACCGGGAGATGGTGGAGATTGTGAACACCGGCTGCAATCAAGATACAGAGCTGTCAGTTCATTGCTTGGGGTCTAGGGTTTGGGGTTTGGGGTTTAGGGTTTAGGCGTACCAGAGTAACCCCCAAAACCCCAATTATTCTAATTATCGAGGCTCCTTGCGTAAGCCCCAAATCATCCTTAAAACAAAAAAATATCATCCTTGGCCCTATGCCCCCAAAAGACAAAGAAGAAGCCCTTCCACCCCCCCTCCCTTGCCGGGAAAAACATCATAGACACAATCAAATCCAAGCACACGCAAAACACATCAACAATAGCAAAATATATAGAAATAGCAATAGTGCATGTCAAGAATAACAACAGTTCAACCCTACCAGACATCCTCGGTTGCTCCGCCAGGGATGACAAGCTGCCATTTCCCGACTACCTTGCGCAGCTCGGGAGCTTCCTGACTTCACTTTATGTAGAGACTGCCCTAAACCCTAAACCCTAAACCCTAAACCCTAAACCCTAAACTGTAGTGGTTCTGAGTGGGGTTTAGGGTTTGGGGTTTGGGGTTAGAGTTTAGGGTCTTGTGAGATTTGGGGAGTTAGGCACCTCCTTGCCCAATTTCCCATCTCATGGTGAACAGTCTTGTAAGGGAGAGCTCTGCCCGAAATGTTTGAAGGGGTTCTTGCGGGAGGGGTTCAGGGGGTTATGTAACCCAAGGTTCCCATCTACCCCCCCCCCCCCCTCTACTTCCTAACTCCCTAACTGGGTTTTTGAGGTACTATACTTTAATACTTTTTTTGGTTCTACAGCTACTTCTGTCTAAAAAGAATATACTTGTTTTCCAGGGTCTACTCCAAAGTAGGGCTAAGGCTCCCCGAGCTTCCGTAGGGTTCCCTAGGTACCTACCACCCATGAGCCCCCTCCCTTAAGGACCCTACAAAAACAGGTAGGCCCCTTTGATGTGTTTCTGCTCTCCCTTCATAGGTTTGAGAGAGGATCTTGGTTTGGAATCTTTGGGTGTTGGTCCAAGATCATGAGCCCCTGTGGCCTCTAGTTCTAGTTTTCCCAACAGTTTCGGGTACCCGCAAAAGAGCTCGCAACAATAACAACTGGATTAAATTAGGGTACCTTCATTCCGCTTCAAAACTGGCTGCCTATACTTCCCTCATTCACCATCACCCTAAACCCTCAACCCCAGAGCCGGTAAGTATAAGCCCGGGCTCCTTTCAAGGCCACCGCTTCGTCCTCTCACCCCCGGGCAAAGGCCACCTTCATCCACCAGTGGGGAGGAAGGGGGCTGGATTCAGGGGTTTAGGGTTTAGGGTTTAGGGCTAGGGTTTGGGGCATAGGGCTCATGGAGTTTCGGGTTTAGGGTTACAAAAAAGGGGCACTGGGGGGGGGGGGGGGGGTGCGCAGTGGAGTAAACAGAAGTGATAGCAATTCCAGAGCCCGAACCACATCTTGAGGATGGGCACAGGGCATCTATAGCTACGCTGCATGTACCCAAACACCCTAAGCGTCCATGTACCTACATTTGGAATACTTTTGCTTAACAGTAAACAATAGTAATAATGAAGAAGGTCCATGGACCCTTAGGGTTGGTGCTCAGGTGTTGTGGTGTGTGCTTCGTATTGTCCATTTGAGGGTCAGAGGTCTGCTGCGGAATGGAGGATTTGTGTTTGTGGGCTGCTGCCTCGTTGTTTTATTCGAGGTGAGGTGAAAGCTTTTGGGCGTTCTCTTTTGAGTTGTTGCTGTTAGGGCCCTAAACCCCTAAACCCTAAACCCCAAACCCTAAGTCCTTTCAAATTCGGCTTGCGACTTTTCATTCGGCAGTTGGCCGAGGCTATGACTGCACCAGGACGTGGGAATCTGTGTGGATGGGCTGCTCAGCTGATCTGGTTTAGGGTTTAGGGTTTAGGGTTTAGGGTTTAGGGTTTAGGGTTTAGGTTTAGGGTTTAGGGTTTAGGGTTTAGGGTTTAGGGTTGCAAGTTCAGGAGCCACGCATCCTAGACTCAAGAATCTAGACCTCAAACCCAAGGGGCTTACCTGGGACACTCTTTACCTACAGTTTCATGGGTCATACCTGCTAAGTAAGGGTAGTAACTACTACGAAACTGTAGGTAAATAGAGTCCCAGGTAGGGCTTGGGCCTCCCTGATTAAACCCTAAACCCGAAACCCTAAACCCTAAACCCACGCAGGCTGCAAGCCTTTGATCTACAACGACACGGACTTCGACACCCGCACATCGGCAAGTGCATCAAAGGGCTGACCCTCCCATGCTGCTGCAAGACGCCCTGAGCCCTAAACCCTAAACCCTAAACCTTAAACCCTAAACCCTAAACCCTAAACCCTAAACCCTAAGCTGCCCGAAATGCCTAACCCACTCAACCCAAAGCTGCCACAGGGCTTCAGCCAAAGCCCGAGGCCACTACCAACGGGCCTCTATCCCAACCATCCCGCATCCGGACGACCTCTCGCCGGAGCTCCTACGAGACCAGGTGGGTTCTTGGGGATGTTTTCCGTTTTCCTTGATTTGGTTTGAGAGCTCTAAGCCCGAAACCCTAAACCCTAAACCGAGGGTTTGTCCTAGGACCATCCGAGGAAAGCTCCTGAGCTCCAAGGAGGAACCGGTGGCCTCGGATGCGGAACAACTGCACTTTGGCTTTGGAGGGGGGGGGGGGGGGGGGGGGGGGTTTCTGAACATAGGGGTTCGGGGTGAGGGCTTAGGGCTTAGGGTTCTGAAAATTGAGTACCGTTTTGAGGGGTTTGTGCTAGAATCAGGATTCTAGTATTTTAGGCGCGTATTATGCAGGGATTACCCCTCCCTTCCATAACATAGGAAATGCCCAATATAGAACCTCGAGATTATATACTCGGGGATCTCGAGATCGCTCCATGGGAAAAATCTTGCGGCCCAAGTACAAGTCTACCCTTCTTGCACAGAGCCCTGAAAGGTGTTATAGGGTTATCGGAACCCTAAACTCCAAACCGGCAGGCACATCAAGTACTGGACCAGCCGATGGAAACAAGATCTGCTCGGCCCATCGAACGGAAGGCATGGTCCTGCCAAAGCGTTGTTTGGGGATTGGGGTTGTACACTCTTGTTTCGGTGTCAAAGCACCTGATGCAGGAAAACCTAAGCCCTGAGGCCCTGAGGGTCGACACACATAGCGACTGGGGATGGTGCTCCGAGTTGTCACATTGGTTTCAGAACGGTTCAGAGAACGATGTTGGCTTTCGGTGCTCGCCAGCGGTGTGTTGTTGGCATGATCGATGTTTAAGCACGTCCTGCACCCTAACCCTAAACCCTTGGTATGCGTATAAGCCCAACCCCGCCCTTTTGAGGCCTCACGCTTGGCGCTGGCGGGTTGAGGGCTTTGTGAAGCATACATAAGGTAGAGTACGCAGTAACCTACCTCAGTAATGCTGAAGGCAGTCGTCAATTTCTGTGGCACATAGCAGACATAGAAGCTTACTCACACAGCTAGGGGCCTGAGTCTCTGTGAACCTGCAACCCCTGAATCCCAAATCGCAAACGGTTGTTTTGTGCGGTTCCCTCCCCCCCCCCCCCCCCCCCCAAGCCCCCAAGTCCTCCGACTCAGGTAGCATCGGCCTGGACTCCCTGGATTGATCTCCACAGCAGCCATGCTTCCGGTAAAGAACATGCGCCGTGGCTTGGACGACAACTGGGGGAGTGCAGGGAAATGGGGCTCACAATCCTCCTGGGAAAGCAACTCCCCCCTCCCACCCCCCAGCCACCCAATATTGGATATTCCCCAAAATGCCATAGCAACAATAATATATCCCCAACAAAGTTCTTTGAGGGGCCTTGGGAGCTTCCGGCATTCGGGCTGGGGCTCTGCATTGTTCAGAATGTAGTGCTTTTTTATGTGTTTGTTTTTTTTTTTTTTTTGGGGGGGGGGGGGTTAGGCTTGAGGGAGCTGAGTGGCTTCAGGGTTTGTAGGCAGCTGCAGTTGTCAGCGCTGAGGGTTGTGGCTTGCAGAAGGCTTGCAGTTTTGGCAAAAGATCTGCAGAGCTTTGCTCTTTCGGCTGCTTCTGCCTCTGAAGCCTCAAACTATTGGGTTTAGGGTTTAGGGTTAGGGTTTAGTTTTTAGGGTTTAGGACCCAGGATTAGGGTTTAGGGTTTAGGCTTTAGGGTTGTGTCAGACTTCCGGTTCTTACGACAACGTCTCTCCACCTCTCAGGACCTACGCTGGCTGCCTGGTGCGCCCGAGGATCTGCCCGGCGAAAGCGCGGGAACTGCATGCAGAGACCTTCTGAGGAGAGCGTCTCAAGAACCTCCTGGGACTCCAGGAGGAAGGGCCTTGCATCTCGAAGAAAATCCGGAAAGGATCCAGTTTAGAAGGCCTAAGCTCTGCTGATGCTGATCTGCGGATGCTCAGCACTTCAGTTCCGTCTCCAAGCACAGCTCTGTGTCGCTTGCTGAACAGCAGCATCCCGCATATCTTTCTCCTTTCCTGTGTCGGACAAGGCGGCCGAGAAGTTGCAGGAGAAAAAGAGTGAGTCCCATTGCGAATTACAACCCCGCAATGCTCTTGGGGTTTGGGTTCCCACGTTGATTCGACAGGAAACTTGCCCTGAAAACCCTCAACCATAGACCCTCACCCTGGACCCCAAACCCTAAACCCTGACCAAATGCCAGCAACCCGGATGACATGTCGGCTCAGCTTGAGGCCGGAGATTTAGCAGCCTGGAACCAGGCACGTCATCCTGGGTCCTCGGGGCTTACGGTTTGGAGTTTCGGGTGTGCCTTGAGTATCCTGTATATTCTACTACCCGCAACAGGATAATGAAAAGAATACGTATGTATGTATATATGTATGTATGTATGTACACAGCTAAGGCAACTTCCCTTGACTTGCTCTTAGCTGAGGGTTAGACTAGGCTAGCGGTTCTAGTATACTGCACCAGAAAAGTCCTACATGAGGATCCTTTAGTTAGGCAGGTAGGACTCGCTTTGCCGCAGGTCTCATGAGAGGCTTGAGGCCTCGAGGCCGATGTCTAGGTTCTCTACGGGGTTTTTAGAAACTGTACCCTAAACCCTACTTAAACCCTAAACTACTCAAACCCTGAACCCTAAACCCTAGTCAAACCCTAAGCCGTATAAACCCTAAACCCGAATCATTTGGGGGGGGGGGGGGGGGGGAGCTTGTCTGAACTATATAGATGTAGGAACATCGGCATAGTCGTGGGTAATGCCCTGTAGCGATCCCAAGCCCGACATCCACACTCCACACATCAACGCTTTCGAGTTCTCGGTTTTGGGTTTATGAGATTGCTCCGTTTCTGTTCAAGGTGCAGTTCAAGCACGTGGGATCAGCACATCGCTCCTGCCTGATCTGTAGTTGGGTTTTGAACCGCCTATAAACCCTAAACCTTCAGATCCAAGCATGAGGAAATCCTTTGCGCACAAGCCTTTTTGGGTTCATTGCTGCTTATGTTAAGCCATGATCTTAAACATCCTCCGTTTAGGGTTTAGGATTCAATATCTTCCCTTCAAAAAAGAGCAGAAAGCCCTACAACTCAGCCCTGGACTTTAGAATTCGAAGCCCTAACCCTAAACCCTAAACCCTAAACCCTAAGCCTTAAACGCTAAAACATAAACCCAATATGCAGGCAGCACCAGCCTTGGTGCCTACCTGGAGAGATGCGGTGCTGTCTGGGGCGACGCCTACGAGGTGGAGGAGATTTTGGAGTTAGGGTTTGTCTAGTAGTTTAGGGTCTTAGGGTCTGGGGCAGCGATGTTTGGTGTTTACCACTTTCTGAAGAAGGTTTAGGGTTTAGGGTTTAGGGTTTAGGGTTTAGGGTTTGAGGTTTAGGGTTGGGGGTTTAGGGTTTAGGGTTTAGGGCTTAGGGTTCAGTATAATCCTTGTTCCCTTGTGCAGGTTCGGGCCTGGGTTGCTTTGGCAAGCTAGTGAAACAGTGGCTACGAATTGCTTAAGAACCCCCCAAAAAGTCTTCTCTCTTAAGGGTGAACTGGGGCTTCTTCTTATTCTTATTAATCTTATTATCATCATTATTTATTCTTTTGGGGTTCTTAAGCAAATAGTAGGTGGCGGACGTGGAGCCAGGTCGAAGCAGTCCAGGCAGCAGAGGACGGCAGACGGTTTTCTTGGCGCGGCGGCCTCTGATCTGTTTGTCTTTGGGCCGACCCTAAACCCTAAACCCTAAACCCTAAACCCTAAACCCTAAACCCTAAACCCTAAACCCTAAACCCTAAACCCTAAACCCTAAACCCTAAACCCTGTTGAGCACAAGGCCCCAATCTCAAAAAATAGTTCTCAACCCACACCCACGGGAGCGGAGGAGCAGAGGGAATTCTTCGCAGAAGCGACTAAGGATGAGGCTTTTGAAATTTGGGGTTCAAGGTTTAGGGTTTAGGGTTTAGGGTTTGGCCTGGTTTTGGGGCTCAGCCCCGCCTTATCGACTCCAGTGCAACCCCCTCCTCCCCCTAATACTAAAACCCTTCCTTCCCCCCCCTAAATCTGAAATTAGCCTCGGCCGGAAAATATGTTGAAAGTTAGGGGGGGCCTAAACCCTAAAACCTGAAAACCGAAGCCTAATTAAACATCAAAGAGGACACAGGGAGGAAGTATGGGGTTTGGGGCTTGGGGTTTAGGGTTCATGTAGGGTTTTTTTTGCCTCAAGCCCTAAACCCTAATTAAGCCCTCTAAGCCCTGAATCCTGATCCTCTCAGCCTTAAACCCTGGGGGGACGGCCGGGGGGGGGGGGGGGGGGGGGGGGGACGAGCGTCTAGTTGAGGGGGAGCGGGGGGGGGGGGGGGGGGGGGGAGGGGCGTAAAGTGTTCATTTGATGCAGCATTGAAGCATCGAATCAGGCTTCAGGCTATTCTTACTTGTGGGTACATATAAGATTCCAGCTGCATCTCCAGTTCCTAAGTTTAGAAAACCCGAGATGCATCTCGATCTCTGGATGGCTTCTTCTCCGCCAAGGACAACACGTGGGCTCGAGCACGGTTTTCAAGGACTGAAGAGGCCCACGATGCTCTCGCTCTCGCCAGTCTGACATCAGCAGAAGCTGATTGGAAATGATCCGATGCGGGCACGAGAGCTAACTGTGTCCTACCAATCGTTTTGGGTTTTAGGCTGTACCTAAAGGCTCCTGTGTGGTACCTTTGTAGGGTAGTATACTAGAATCCCCTATAACTAACCCTCAAAAAAGGAACTGCTTTAGAGCTTTCAGGTAAGGTGCTTCATTCAGCACCGTTGAACTTGATTTTGTTTAAGGTTATTTTGTGGCTAGTAGAAATTGAAAGTTAAATCGTTTTTGTTTTTCGGCGATCGGAGAAGTAAGACTGCCCTAGCCCTCAACCCCTAAACCCTAAACCCTGAACCCTAAACCCTAAACCCTGAACCCTAAACCCTAAACCCCAAACCCTAAACCCTAAACCCTAAACCCTAAACCCTAAACCCTAAACCCTACCCCCCCAAAAAAAAAAAAAAAAAACTGAGGTGTGGCCATGCCCGCCGAGCGACTGTCTAGCTTGCGTCCGGGGGACATGTTGGAGTCGCCTCGGCCTCTGAGCCAGAGAGAAGAGGTTCAGCGGTTGAGGGGTTTAGGGTTTAGGGTTTAGGGCTTGGGGTTTAGGATTTAGGGTTTAGGGTTTAAGTACCCTAAACCCTAAACCCTAAACCAAAGACCCTAAACCCGGTTTAGGGTACCCTCATCTGGTTGAAAGGAAGGCTTAGGATGGATGCCGCGACCCTATGAGAGCTTGTTTCAACATGATTTTGCGGCTTCCGATTGCCCAAGTTGCCTTCTGCTTGCGCAGTGGACGATGCGTTGCAGTCTTTGGCTTTGGGATTATGCGAGATAAGGGTGGAGGGGTTTAAGGCTTTGGGTGTAGGGTTGTTTTCCGAGACCTGTTAGTTGCTTGCAGGAGCTGGCCCTTAGACCTCAACGCGCCATGAAACACCCAGCCTTCACCCAAGACATTCGACGACCTCTCAGCAGGACAACCCTAAAAACCCGAAACCCTAAACCCTAAACCGTAAACTCCTAAACCCAAAAACTGCTAAACCTTACGTCCTCGACCGAGGCGCCCAGCCAGTGCTACCCCGTTTGCTTGGGTCTAGAATCCTTGAAAGACCTAATGACACAAAAATGGTTTAGGGTTAGGGAAGTTTGAGGGTTAAACCCTAAACCCTAAACCCGAAACCCTAAACCCGAGATTATTTGGGGAAGCAAGTGCATGTTTCGCTTCCTGCCGAGACCCACGTTTACTCTCCCGGGCGGCTGCCGGGCAACCCAGAAGACATGCCCCTACGCCCCAAGCCCCTAGAAGAGTTTGGCTTCCCGTGTTCAATGTTTATAGTGCTTTTTGGGTTTCGGGTTTTGGGATGTGAGGTGCTTCCGATTTTTTGGGTTTGGGGTTCGAATTTTGCTTGGGCTTTGGAGATTTTTGCTGAGGGGGGTAAGGGGTCGGGTTGGTGCTTTTTTTGGGTGGGGGGTCTTCATGCCCACATGCCACCTGCGCCTAAAGCCTCAACAATACATGATGTCCGACATGAGACTTTGAGACCTGGGAGATAGCGATGCGGCACGGTAGCCGAGCACAAGGTCGA